GTCCTCATTTTTAAAGTCTCAGACAATGAAAATTCCATTATGTCAATCTCATTCAATGTGTGTACAGCTATTCATTCATCTAATAAGTCACTTTGTTCAGAAGTACTTGCCTCTGATACTTATCTCTTCAATGTCATCATTGTACATCTTATTAAGTTAAGCATGTGAGAAAAGTTAAAACTTTTCCACTGGTTAAGAAGACCATGAAATGAAGCAGAACAAAAGGTTATAATGCAGTAAAATGCACAAATTCATAATTTGTGAATATTATGTTTGGTTACTTTTCCAGAGGAATGACAATGCAAACAGAAGCTTACATTGTTCCTATCCCAGAGAAGTTAGTGTGATCATATACTTAAAAATTGGCTCTGCTATGGGTTAGTTGTGTGACCTTGACCAAGTTGCTGTCTCTCCAGTCTTCAGTTTTAAGTAAATAAGAGGTTGAATTTGGTTATCTTGTCCCAAATTTTATAATCCTAGAACTGAGTTGTTTGCCTTCAATATAGGGTGGGGCAAAAGCAGTTTTACAGTTGTTTGTATGGAAAATAATATAATCTATATATATATATAAAGAGCCAGGGTCCGTAATGTCCACAACGACCAAGGCTTGACCAAACACCAGAAGTCAGTGCTGGGTTGCTGTGGCGACCCAGCACTAACTGCAGCTGGTGCCAGACAGCAACCCAGCACTGACTGCTGAGGGGGCTGTGGATCAGGCCCAGAGAGAGGCCTTCAGAGAGAGAGAGAGGCAGGGTCTGATCCCCAGCCCCGTGGCAGCTGTTGATCAGCCATTGCCTCTCTCTTTCCAGGCTTCGCCAACAGCCGCACCTGTTTCTCTCCGGGCCTCCGCGGAGCTGCTTATCAACCCTGCCTCTTTGATCAGGCCCAGAGATAGGCCCAGAGACACTGACTAGCATAGAAACCGACCAATCAGAACCAAATCTGGGTGAACTGCGAAGGCAGAACCTAAGGTGGGGGCTGAGGAGGGGTTTTAAGGGTTTTTAATGACCGGTTTGGCAATATAGTGCATATGGCTGGCTATCAGTCCAGATATAGGGATTATGTGTTTTTGTCTGCCAAGAGTATCTCCTGCTGTAAAAGGCTCCCCACCCCCATTTAAGCAATCCTGTCCTATATAATCTATACTAATAAAAAGGTAATATGCTAATTAGACTGGGTCAACCGGCCATCTTCCAGGTGTCCAACTTCCTTCCAGACAATTCCATGGTGGTAGGGGCCAAGGCAGGGGCAGTTAGGGGCGATTAACCAACTGAGGGATGGCAGATCGCGTACAGTCCGCCGCAGAGAAAGGAAGCTTGGGCTGATATCAATCAGGAAGGGGAGGGAAATTGAAGCCAATCAGGCCACCAGGAGAGGGTAGTTAGGGGTGATCAGGCAGGCAGAGGCAGTTGGGTCAAGTTTAGCCCAGCAGGAAAGGGCCAGTTGGGGGAACCCAGGGCAGTAGGGGAGGGCAGTTGGGGGCGAGATCAGGCCGGCAGGGGAGGGCAGTCAGGGGTAATCAGGCAGGGGAGGTAGTTGGGAACGAGATCAGGCTGGCAGGGGGGGGTAGTTAGGGGTGACCAGGCAGGCGGGGGGCAGTTGGGGGCAAGTTCAGGCCAGCAGGGGAGGGCAGTGGGAGAGAGATCCGACTGGCAGGGGAGGGCAGTTAGGGGCGATCAGCAGGCAGGCAGGTGAGTGGTTAGAAGCCAGGAGTCCCAGATTGCGAGAGGGCCTAAACTGGCAGTCAGACATCCCCCAAGGGGTCCCTGATTGGAGAGGGTGCAGGCTGGGCACCCCCCCCCCCCCCGCCTGCACAAATTTCATGCACCAGGCCACTAGTTAATAAATAATAATACAAGAATAAACTTCATATTCACAACTGTAAACCTACTTTTGTCCACCCTGGATATTTATTTTGCAAATAATCCTGTACACTGACATTACTCATAAAAGCAAAGGGGAAAGTAAAATATTGTAGATTTATGTGGAAACCTCTGGAAAGTGTATGTTTAACTACCATGATAGAAAAAAATTTAGGTTATATTACATACATGTGGTAGAGTAGGACAGTTTTATTCCTGCAAATCTATTTTTGAATAGTGTAAAAATCTGAAGTGATAATTTGAGGTTCAAAATTCTATAAATGAGAGTGAATGTAATAATATTACCTCATCAAAAATAGTTATAAAATACTACTTTAAATGACTTAAAATTTTTTTGTTTGCATTTTTAAGTGAGATAATCTTTTATTATTAAGGGCCTATTCTATGTCCAGTATTTCACTTTAGTCTAAAAAAAAAAATGATCTCTGTCAGCAAAGAACTTTTAGCCTAGGTCAGGGGTGGGCAACCTTTTTGTGAGTGCATGCCAAAACCAGCAAAATCTGACTCAAAATTCTTCTGCGTGCCAACCCTAATTTTTTGAGACCATGTTACACCTACTTGATATCTCTTAAGGTGTACGTATGTGAAGAACCTTGAAGAAATAATAAAATTCATTCGAGCGACAAAAACACAGTATATGATGATGAAAAATACATTTATTTTTTAATGTGTACATGTACACTGATAGTCCGACAGAAAACTTTATGCTCCGTTTGATATTATCCGTGGGACTTTTGCTGCTGCATCACTGATGACAGAGATTTTACATCAGGTTTATATTTCGTGACCTTCAGAGATATGCACGAGCTACTACTTTAATCCGTCAGCCTACTCCTATTATGAGACTTAACAAAATTCATCACTGAGAACAAAGATTCACAAGCGTATGTGGATGAAACCAAAACGCTGGTCGGACCTAGGAAGCCAGGAGAGTTAAGGCAGAGCATAA